GGAGAAACCCCCGCGATGGCAACGCCTACACGTCGGGGAAAGTATCCAGATGCAGGAGAGGTTCTCTCCAGTTCGATCTTGACATCACATCAGTCACCGTCCCGTATGATGCCAATGTTTCTTCATATTTTCACAATTTATCTGGAGGAAGGCTAAAGAACAAAGAGAAGAAGAAGAAAAAAATACCCGTACCCGTCAAGACCCCCAATTTGCAGCAGGGCTGCAGGAACTGTGGTTCTTTGCCCAGATTAAGCATAGCGCCGAAGATCGGGCTCTGAACGATGACGGCCTGGATCGTGATGGAACGGTTGGATCTCAATGTCTCAGAGCCTTCCTCTGGGCAGTCATAGTGGGATGGAGCACGAATCCCAGGATGGGGTATCACTTTTTTTTCTCTCTCCAAGGACCAAAATTTCTCCAACAAGCCAACACTTCTCCAGTTCTGCAGCACTGGCACCGACATGTGTGGGAATCAAAGTGGACGTCTCCTCCGGCCCCAAGTGGAGGGAGGGGGGGCTAGCTAACAAAGAAAATGTGATGAAGAGTTTTACCCACGGGGAAGTGAAAATTTTCCAGCTGTTGGCCCTGGTTTTGGGGCTATTTTTCTGGCGGCGGCGGCATGAGATGACTCCAACGGAGCTCCACCTCACGATGTCTTTTGAGTGAGTGTGGAAATATGCAGGCGAAAAAAAGAGCTGGAAAAATTCCGTCGAAAATGGGCACGCACAGGTGACCCAGCTCTTACGCAAGAGAAACGACACAATTGGCCGGATGGCCTTGGAAGTGGACTCTGGGGGGCCCGTGATCCCGTCCGCGTCCCCCTGTTTCCCGCTTCCCGAAATGTTTGCAGAGAGTGTGTCCCTGGTCTGACTTGTCCACGTTCCCTTGCGGCTTGCTCCTGATGGGTGTCGAGTCCAGGCTTTTTTCCCCCCTTGGAGAGCACGTTTCCTATCCCCATGGCGGCTCTCGTCACCAGAGGTGAAAATTTCAAAAGAAAAGGGCTCCATCGTGAGATGAGGCTATGGCTTGGCGACCAACCTCTACGGAGCCCAGACCCCCTTCCCTCCCTGGCTCCTTTTCCGCGACGGATGGACGGACGCGCACCGGGATCGTGTTCCGTTTGAACATGAACGCTTTGGTGGGGGTGGGAGTGAGTGGTTGGAGGGGTTGGGCAGGACTGAAAGCAACGGTGCGCGCTCCGTCAGGACATGCCCGACTAGGGAAATGTTCTCGATCGTTCCCTTGGCTCTGTGCTGGAAAACGAACGAGGCAGAGATGCGGTGGCATGATGGGATCTGAGATCAGAACATACACCGAGATTCGTTGCGCACTGTTGCTACGGCGGGGAAGGGAACAACGGAGATGCCCGTGAATACGGACTTTCTTTCGGGCTACGAGATGTGATGAGATACTAATCATCGAAGCGGCTGTCAGCTTACAACGAGTGTAAGTCGAATCTCGACAGCCTGACGCCACCATGCAAGTCATGAAATTCAGACACATGTCGATCCTTCGAGGAAGAATAGGGATCACTGACTGATGCCATTCCACAAGCGCATTGTCCGGCACGGTCCTATGAACGGACGAGTGGCATGAGGACCAAAAAGCAGGAAAGACGAACTGCTCGCCCGTGTGTCCTCTTGACAGTCTAGTCGAAAAGTGTCACGATGATCACGATGAAAGATGTCACCGGCGGAGCCAAGCGCCGCTCTTCTCCTCCCCCTCGTCTTCCTCCTCCTCATTTTCCCCAGTTCTCGCCATTTGGCTTCCCCGACCTCCGGAGCTTTTGGGCCTGATCTGGTCGGGTTTGCCTGCTTCTGCCGAGAGGTGCATCGAGATGGCCTTATTGACCAAGAAAAAGTCACGATGGTGCCAGTATCGTGTGTGTAATTAGGACCCCTCCACATTTCGCAATCCTCGGCAGGGCGAGGAAACGGAGCGGGAATCGTACCACATGGCATTGTGACACCGCAACATGAGAGAACCGGCCGGCCGTTTGCGTGTGAGCCGTGTACGAAGTACGTGTGCGTGCCAGAAAGGTGTGCATTGCCCTTACCGCAGGCGTTTTGGGGGCCCTACCCTTTCCGCCGTGCGATGTTTCCCATCCGATCTCTGTTGCTACACAAACCTGTATCGCATCATTTCCAAGGGCGATGCCGGCGGCTACCAAACGGGCCGCGTGCGTTGCGATGAAGCTTGTGAACCGCGCCGCCCGTTGGCAAGGCCTGGCTCTGGCTGGCCATCATGTCTAATTACGGCGGCCAGGTACCCTTTTTACCGCCGTACGGTTACTGCCAGACCGCTTGACAGTGTGCCTCCCGAAGTAGGGAAGGTGTAAGGTAGGGATGCAGATGGCATGAGGCGGAGATCTCATGTCGATGTCGATAGTGGGAAGAACTTGAAGGGAGGAACAACCTGGATGGCGCTCTCTCGTGGATATCCGCTCGTGGGATGGCGGCGGCTCCTTGCTGTGACCGGGACTGTTGCGACGGCAGCGCCAAACATGATGCCATCCACGTAAGGCCCGTCCGTACCCACGCCGGTGCCACGGCTCACACGTCTGACTCTGAAAGCTTCTGCGTGTCGTGTCGTTGGTCTCGACCAGTCACTTCTCTCGTCTCCATTCACGTTTCCTCTTGGGCGCGGCGGCTGCTGCTCAAGGTGCCTGCTGTAACTTTGTAACCGGCGTATCGTTTCCGTTCCCATTGCGACGCCGTGCCCCTGGCGTTGCGCAATTGTGGGCGACCGGGCACTAGTTTTTAGGGTCGCAAATCGCCATCGAGGCTAATAATTAAACGACGGGCCAGCTGAAAGGTGGTTGTTCCCTGTGGCGGTCAGGTACCTACTTTGCAGAGCTGTGAATCCATGTACAGTACTTTCTTCTGTGTGTGTGAAGTCTCGGGTTGCGTACCGAAAGCATCTGGGACTCTGCCTGACCGCCGCCGGCCTTGCTCGAATCTCTAAGAGGGAACTCAACCAGACGGAAGCGTCTCCCGGTTCTCACATCGAGATGGAGATGGAAATGGAGATGGGAATCTAACGGAACGCCGTGGTTTCTGGTAGTAGGATCTCTAGCCCGTAATACCAGACGGATGCCAACTGAACTGAAAAAGACGCCGGCCCGGTACGTATTCACACGTGGGCCTCATTACCACAGTCGGTGTCATGGCTCAGGAGAGATGGTGAACCAAGGAAGGTCAGGAGGGACACTCGACCCATGAGCAGGCTATGCCATGCCTTGCCCAGTGGACTCAGTCCTTGCTGAGTTGAGCAAGTGTCTGCGTCGATGGGTGCTGTTGGCTGGGCGGTTGGTCATGTTCGTGTTAAAAGTAGTCAAGTACAGTACATTCTGGGCTCACACCAAGACCCTCAGTGGAGTAATAACGCATGGCTGGAACTTTTTCACACAATTTTTCTCACTCTCTCTCTCTCTACCTAGCTCTTCGATGTCGTCTTCTCTCAGAATCGACCAGCTTTACAGCGGCTCCAGTGACCGATGCACGCTGTTCTGGGCCGTGTCAAACGCTAGAGCGGAGCTGTGTCGCCAGGTACCCTTCCTTTCCATGACACATAATTACTCGATGAAAAGCTTGACCATCACGAGCTGGCGAGACATAATAACGCGACGTCCTGCGCTCGATGCTCGATGGTGTGAGACGACTATTAGAAGAAGCTGAGCTGTGACCACTTTTGTTTCTGTTTACTTTGGCAACTTGACGATACCCTCATCTCATTATCAACCACAACTTGTGTCCTCTGAGACTACACTAATACGTACCAACAAGAAGAATCTCGCATCTTCTCCACCTCCACTTCCGAACTGCATCTCATCTGAAGCCGCCGTTAAGCGCTGCAGCTGCACACACAGGACCCCACTCACAATCGACTTACACGGGAAACCAAGAGGAACTTTTTTTCGTTTCCAAGAGAAGGATTCTTGACAAAGGGATCTTCATTTCCCTCGAACTCGACCGACTCGACTCGACTCGACTCATACCACCATCTCGTCTCGAACGTTTCAATCGTCTTGTCTCCCGTCAGAGCCATTGCGAACGAGAATCAGAAAACGACGACGAAAGGGCGCAGAAGACAAAAACCAGACATCATCTGCCTGCCACATCACACACCACACACGCCCCAAGCGAACCAAACGCAACTCTCCCATCCCACACCCCGCATCTTCCAACATCGCTTTGGCCCTCCAGCTTTTCCTGCGCGAACAGCAGATCTCTCTCATCTGCCCGCCCTCCTCCTCCACCACCACCGCTACCTAGCCCAAACAAGCTTCCCTCTTGGCTGCAAAGCCAAAAAGATCGAAACGGGAACAGGAAAAGAGACCACAGACCTTGCGTCGTCGTCCGTCAACCAGCAAGGATTCGAGAAGAGCCAAAGAACAAAGCGAGGCGCCCCTCCATCACCTCTTGCTTACAAAAAGTACAAAGGGACTGCCCCCCCTCGTCCACTCAGTCATCAGTCAAGGGGAATACAAGAGCCAGACATCAGCAGACCTCGACCTCGCGTCCACACTTGCCGCCCCTCTTTCCGTATTCCGTAATATACCAACTCAGGTCATCACACTTTTTCAAGACCCGGCTACTTACTTACTCGACTTACACACTCCGCCGCTTGAGCCGTACGGAATACCGAGCTCGCCTTACCTCGACCACGAAACCGCGAGGTAATACCCGACATACCCTGCCCTCACCGCGCCCAGGCGCCCGCATCTACCTCGTCCATCCTTCGGGATCCGGCGAAGCGTCCCTTTTTTTGCGTCCCCTTCTGGGAGCCCACATCCGGAGACAGGGCCCTGCGCCCAACGTCACACCACATCATCCACCCCCCTTGTCAGCTTGTCTAAGAGAGGTGACTCCAACCCCATCTTAGGCCCGGCCAAGCATTAAAAGAAGCGCTCTGGAAGACGCATCCGAAGCCAGATTCAGCAATACCAAGTTCGATAATCCGGGGAAAGGAAACGCCACCCTTTCCAACACAACGCAACAATGCCCCACAGAGTCGCCAACTTCCTGCGCAACTCAACTGAGAACTTCAGTGTTTCCGCGCTCAAGACCATCCGCAACCAATCGACACACCACCACCACCACCACAACAACAACAACCACAAGACATCAAACGTCCAAGACCAGGGCTTGCTGCGCAGGCTGCCCCTCGACCGCCACTCCTCCTACTCGTCCGATGACGGCGAGCACATCCCCTACAACAAGATGTTCGCCGCGGAGCCGCCGGTAGAAAACCTCAAGGAGAAGAAGCACCACCACCACCGCCTCTCGCTGCCCTTCGGTCGTTCCGGCAAGGACTCCCACGAGAACCCCCACGCGAAGCTGGACTGGAAGATCGAGAGCCCGCCCATCGTCTTCTTCGGCGACGCGGAATCCTCCACCGGCGCCCTCGTCTCGGGACAGATGTTCCTCGACGTCAAGGACGAGCAGCTCGAGGTCGAGGCCTTCGAGGCCAAGCTCAACATCCACGTCCAGCAGAAGCGCCCCTTCACCAACCACTGCAACGAGTGCCAGAACCAGTACACCGAGCTCAAGCGCTGGACCTTCCTCGCCCACCCGACGACCCTGAAGAAGGGCCTCCACCCCTTCCCCTTCTCCATCCTCCTCGAGGGCCACCTCCCCGCGTCCATGGACACCCCGATCACCTCCATCGCCTACGAGTTCAAGGCCGAGGCCGTCCTCGTCAAGGGCACGCCCGGCTCCCAGACGCCCATCAAGTTCGAGCAGAACTTCGACGTCAAGCGCTCCCTCAACCAGCCCGAGTTCCCCCACCACTCGGTCCGCGTCTTCCCCCCGACCAACATCAAGGCGAGCGCCCACTACAACCAGGTCATCCACCCGGCCGGCACCCACAACGTCTCGTTCCGCCTCGACGGCCTCACCACCGCCAACCCGTCCAACAAGACGGTCGAGTTCTGGAAGCTCAAGAAGGTCACCTGGAAGCTCGAGGAGACCATCAAGACCGTCGCCCCCTCGTGCGAGAAGCACGCCCCCGCCGCCGGCGCCCAGGCCGCCAACCAGAAGGGCGTCCCCCGCACCGAGACCCGCGTCCTCGGCGAGAAGTACATGCACGACGGCTGGAAGTCGGACTACAACAGCACCGACGGCCACGTCGAGTTCGAGTTCGACTACGGCGTCCTCGCCGGAAGCTCCTCCTCCAAGCACGGCCACCACCACGCGCCACGCTACGCCTGCGACATGAAGTCCCACGACGGCACCGAGGTCTCCCACGCCCTCATGATCGAGATGGTCGTCTCCAAGGAGTGGGCGCCCATCGGCAAGCCCCACCTCGCCACCCAGACCGGCACCGGTCGCATCCTCCGCATGCACTACCACGTGATGCTCACCGAGTGCCCCGGCCTCGGCGTCAGCTGGGACAACGAGGCGCCCCCCGTCTACCAGGACGTTCCCCCGTCCCCGCCCGCCTACCCCGACCAGCAGCGGCAGCTCCAGCTCGAGGCGCCGCCCGTCGAATACGAGAGTCTCGAGCCCCTGGACGGGCAGACGCACAGCACCGAGGGTTCCGTCACCTCATGACAAACATGAAAAATCTATTAGAGGAGGAAATGTAATCCGGAAGTTATTTACTTGAAGAAAAAAGCTTAAAGAGGAGGTCACTATCGGTATTACGAAAACGAAACTTGGGAAACAAAGGAAAAAAGGAAAAGTTTTTGATTTGTCTGGATTTATGCGCATTATACCCGCCGGGCTATGAACCGGGCGCCTTTTTATTTTTCTTTCTCTTTGGATATTTTATAAGTTTTACTACGGTTGGAAGACTATTTTCTCATCTCTCTATTCGGTATATGGTTTTTTTGATCTGGTATTTGAAGAGAAAGCGCGGCATTCATGTGACAGGATCTCATGGGAAAGACATGATTGCATCGCGAAGGCGTTCTACGGCGACAGACACTTTTTGAGCTGACTGGGGGGATTGATGATTCTCCCCCGCCGCATTGGCTTCTCAGTAGCTAGCTCATGACGACAGACAGAAGACGAAACAAAGTAACATTAATAATTACATCACCAATATTCAAAACAAATATTCAACTCAGCCTCCGTCTCGATCCAGATTCCACTTTTGTTTCGAACCTATGTGACTTGAGTGTAAGGTATCAAAGTTCTAGACTCATAGCCGCGACATGGAGACTACTTGCGCAAGTTTCTTACTCAGTTGTTACAGTTAATGCCAAGCTACCTACCATCAGTCGTGAAAGTAACACCGCAGTTACCTAAAGTCTGTCAATTCAATGCGCAAAGCCAGAGTTGTAAGTGAGTGGTGGAGCTACCGCCGACGTGTTCCCAAACACTCTTTTGCCCGTCGTCGTTCGTGTGCGATTCATTGGTGATGAGACAACAACTCAGCAGTTGCCCCTCTTTCTCTCTCTAATGCGCCGCCGCCGCGACCAATGCCAAGCGGGATGACATGTGAAAATACCCCTGGAATGGGATGACACGACGGCGTTTTGCGGCTCAATCTTTCATCCCACGTTGGTTTTGTTTCGCTGGCGGGAACGGGTTGCGGCCTGCATTGTGCAGTTGCCCCCCGTTGGGAAGAAGGGCGTCGGGTTGAGGTTGATCTTAGGAAACCATTACACAACGGAAACCACATAGGGTTCTAGAACGCCCTGAGCCTAGCGGCGGGTATCCTGCAACTGTGTGTGTGTGTGCCCTGAGCTTTTTTTGGTTTCCCGGGCCGCTGGGAGGGAGAAAGAAAAAGTCAATTGGGTGATGGAGGGGCGGAATTACAGACTGAGGCGGGAAATGGGTTCTTCCCTGGAAAGTTGAGGTTGTTTCCAGAGTTGTGTCTGGAACTTGCTATACTGTGACGAGTGGATGAACGGAAGGTCACAGCTTGGTGGGCATCAAGTCGCAGAGTTTCCGTCTACGGTTTGGGAAACTCGGTTGAATTGCGTGTACAGCAGTCAGAGCCAAGTCAGGCAGTTCGATCCGCTTGCTAGGTATTGCGCCATTCTTGAGTCGAAGAACCGCGTGTGGTGGATCAGCGAATTGGGTATTCTTTCACGATGGTGCGATGTGCACCATTCCAGGCTTCATTCATCCGCCTCAGCTAGGCAATTGTAATGCGCTGCGGTGTGACTGAACAGCTCAGCACACACACAGGAAACCAAGCGCCCAGTGGAGCGGCGGCGGCCGGACTGCTGCTCAGCACTGCAGCAGCGCGCTGTGACCGGCGCACCGGGCCGGTGTGCTGAGAAGCAGGCATCGGGTCGCATTCCGGTGGTGGCCCTATTCTAGGTAGTACGGATACACGTCGGAGGCGGGCTCCAGGCAAACGGTGTGTCGGAAGGCGTATCGTGACTCAGGTCAGGCCGAAGTCATGCCAGAAAGGCCGCCGCCGTGGTCAGGCCGCCCTCTTTCGCGCGCAAATCGGAGCCGGCCGTGTCGAATCGTGCCTCTCTCTCTCTCCTGGGGCCTTCGCCACGAGGGCGACTTGTTGCGTCCCGGGATCGGGGGGACCAGGGGGCCAGGTGCCGGCGCGGGAAAGCTCAGAGGGGGGGGGGGGGGGGTTTCTGTTACGTGAGAAGTTGACTCCGGGAGGTGTACCGTGTGCCGGGGATACTTTCCGTAATGCAGTTCAGGTACCGGACGCCCGTTGGCAGCACCAGAGTTGGTGATCCAAGGCGTCCTGGACATTTGGGTTCGTAGTGTTAGGTGGAGCTCCGTGGAAGTATTCTACTTTTGCTGAACGCACACTTTGTTCGGGTCGCCAGAAGTTGGAACGAACCTTGAGCTGTGCCAGCGTTCAAGACGGAGCGGAGGCTCCGCAAGTTGCGTCTCGCGCGGACGTATGTCCTTGTCTCAGCCATCTTTTTCCCTGGAAAACTTGCCAGAGACTTAGTAGAATTTGCAGCGGAATTTTCTGAAGAATTCTCTTCCCTCAAAACCGCGTTCCTGAATCGTTTGCTGATCGCCGCCCACTTCTGACTCCATCGATTGCCCAAAAGATCTCCAAAATTCCAGCTCGATGACGGTTCCGTATTGGATCGGTTCATCTTTTCCGATGGATCTCCGCCGGGTCACTCGTCTCCATTTCCAAGGTCTCTGCTTTTTCTTTCTTTTCCTTGGGCTCCGCTGAGCTCCCAAGACGCAAGCAACTCAAAAGGCAAAGGAAAATTTTCGCAGACAAACATGATCCCCGTCGAGAATCATTGCGTCAGGAGGGGCTAGGGAAAAACCTCCCCCCCCCTCCCCACCATCCCACTCCGTGACACACGGCAGTCCCTTTTGAATGGGTACGGTGAGTCACGAAAATCTCGATGTGGGCTGAGGCAAGGCGAAGCCAGGCAAACAACGGCCATACATCCACAAAGGCAGCTGAGAAGGAACCCATTCGCTCGGCAGCAAACGATCTCCACCGCGGCAACATGAGTTGCGATCGGCGCGAGGCCGTCATCTGCAATCAAGGCCGGCTGGCGCAATGGTAGCGCGTCAGACTTCTAATCAGCTCATCGATGATGAGTTGGTCGGTTGACATCTGAAGGCTGCGGGTTCGAGCCCCGCGTTGGTCATTTCTTTTGCTTTTTGGTGTCTTTGTTGTTTGTTTCATGCTGAATGCGATTGATGACGCGTTTCCGTACCCCGAATATGATGTTACATGACTCCAAACCTTGAATATCTCATATTGGTTGATGCGGACGTGATGAAAAGTAGGTGGCCCGCGAAAGACTTCATGCGAAGCCTAGTTGTCAGTACTCTATCTATCTTTATGGGGTGAGAAAGCGCACTTTCTCCAATCTTGATCCGTGTTGCAATGTAGGTAAGAAGTAAGTAAGAACCAGCTGCGCAGGTTAATCTCGCTTTACACCCAAAACTCCCACGCGGCGCATCCCCACTACACAAACGAGACAAACCACCATCATCCAGCCGAACATGGTCCAGAACGAGACCCTGTACCCCTCCATGAGAGCCCCCGGGGAGGACTTGTTCGCGTCGGAAGACTTGCTGGTCACGGACGAGGCGATGACCTGCGTGACGCTCATGCCGATGGCGGCGCCGAGCTGAGCGCAAGTGTTGAACACGGCACCGCCCAAGGCCTGCATGTGCCTGGGGAACACATCCGAGATGATGAGCAGACCGACGGTGAAGAGGATGTCGCAGCTGATGGGGGTGAGAATCTGCGCAAAGAAGGCGTTCTCCCAGTACAGCTGGTCCGTCCGGATGAGAGCCATCAGAAGAGGCGCGACGGTGCTCATAGTAGAGGAGATCAGGAGCATCCACATGACCGGCATCCGGTGCACGAAGACGCCGGTTGCGATGCTCGTGAGCGCACCGGCGATGAGAGACGGGACCACTTGGAGGGATGCTTTCAGGGCTGAGGCGCCCTGAACCTGTTGGAAACTGCATCGAGTCAGAATGATCTGTCTTCGTTGGATGGGACGGGGTCAACTCACAAGAGACTGCTGTAAAGCTCCATGCAGTTAGCCAGGGCATTGGTGAGGATCACCATGACACAGCAACTGGTGAAGACATGGCTGCGCCAGATCGAGTTGGGGATCAGTGCAGTACGCTTCTCCTTGACTCGGCGGTGCATCCAGCCGATGAATGACGGAACAGCGCATCCAGCTACAACAAGCAAGGCAATGCTAGATGGCTTACGTATGTTGTGGATGTCAGATGATAAAGACCTGTGATCATTTCCATCAGTTTCATGTGAAGTGAAGTTGGCTTTCCATATTGAGTGATGTGTACTTACGCCAAAACGTACGAGATAGAGGCCAGTCCCGTGCTCGCAAGGAAGACTCCAACGGAGTCTATCTCCTGCATCAGTCTCTTCCAGACTGGCGTCCCGTTCTCTGGCCGGCTATCACGCGGCAAGGCCCAAATGCTCAGTAGGAACAAGGCGCCACTGGCCGAAGCCGCAAGGTAGAAAGCCGGCCGCCATCCGACGGTGTCAGTGAAGACGCCGCCCAACACCAACCCAAAAGCAAAACCAAGAGGTTGAGAGAAACCCATGAACGCGAACCCCATATTCCGCGGCCGTCCCTCTTCCACGTTGTTCGAGATGATAGAAATGGACGAGGGAGTAATGATGGCATTCGTGACACCCTGCAGGGCCCTGAAAGCGATGATCTGTCCTCCGTCCCGAGCCAGACCACATGCCATGGCAAATATGGCGGCGAAGAAGGAACCGAACAGGTTCACCCTCTTGTTGCCGACGACGTCTGCGATTGAGCCGGCCAAGAGCAGGCACGAACCCGCCGTGAGGAAGTAGCTGGAGCTGGGCCAGACGAGGAGTCCTTCCTCCAGGCCGAGGGTGGATTGCATTGCTGGCAAGGCAACGACGATGATGCCATTGCAGAAGCTGCTGAAGAACAACTGACCGCAGACTTGGGCGATGACAATGGCAGATCGAGTCTTTGAGAGAAGTACGGGCGTTGCCGTCGTCGCCGTCTCAGCCTCGAGTGTTGCATGTCTCGCAGTTGACGCGTCTCCTGCGATTGGTGTCTCGTGGGACTTGCGCGGCAAGGCAATCGGTGTGGATGAGCCGGGCTCGAACGTCTGCAGCTCGGTGATGGTTTGTGTCGCCATATTGCTGAATGTGACTGAGCGGACACTACATGTGTGTGTTTATTGTGGCTGCAACTAATTGCGACAGTGGACTTCAATTGGTTTGAAAGAAGTGACCATCAAATCAACGGCGAGTGAAGTTGTTTGAGTCATATGTTGGAGGTGAGACTTTAGCTGCCAATCGCGCCCTGCAATGACATGTCACCTGATATCCACTTCTGGCCAGCATTGCAGGGCAGGCCGACAAAAGTTCTTCCTTTATCAGGCCGATAACATAAAGGAGTGCATTTTAGGATTCTTGAGACTTCCAACCTCGATAATGAGTATCTACTTTCGTCGAAGGCCACCACCGGGTCTTGCAGGCGTCCTTCTCACTTGTGACTGGAAAGTCTAAACATTCATGACTGTGTAATACGATTTTACGAGTTCAAGAATTCTGCCTCATTTATACTGATTTCTCCAACAGAAAACAGTAACTGCACCGCTGAATGGTTAAACCATTCACACGTCATCAGCTACCTGCAATTTCAGCTGCATCAGCGTGGGTTGGCTTTCTACCGTAGATAGACCATCTAAAAACGTTGCGTATCCTGTCAGAACAATTCCTCATACCAAAAAGCCGAACTGAATGCACTCACATGTTGAAGTATGCATGGATATTTCTATCCCTGAAGTCCTTCCGAGCCTCCATGGCAAGAACCAGAACTTCCTCTCTAGTCCAACCCAGCCCTCGGGTAAGTGCACCCATCAGGATTCCGTCCCAATGAGGAGCGAGGTTCTCATAGTTCCAGATACCAAGCTCCTTGTATTTACGGTCCTTGGGCCAACCGCAGGTAGGCCACTTGAACCGTTTGATGTGAACATCTTCAAAGCCAACTTCAACCAGAACGTCTTTGAGCCGGTCGGATGGCTTGAACGGCGTCCCAAATATTCCCAAGGCCTGATGCCAAAGTCGAACACTTTTCATGAGGCTGCAATCAGCCGGAAGAGTGTCGTCGTCGCATACTGGGGCGATATCGCCTTCATTGAGCTCAAGGTAGCCTCCGGGCTCAAGGTTACTGGCGCACATGCAGTTAGTTTCGTGGGGAAATTGAGTTGAGAAACAGCATAATGGTGCACAGACTCATAGCATTGTTTGACAAAAGCCTTCCAGTCGAGAACACTTCCATTCATCAGTCTGCTATGAATGTAGTCGAACGACTCCGAATACGTCCATGGCTCATTGACGTTGTCGATCTCGAATTGCACGTTTGGGGGAACACTGCGTCTTTCAGTCAGTCCGGGGTTGCGGCACATTATTTGTGTCTTTTCAGGCGCGAGAGCTTCATACAAGACCGGTTGAACGGGCGACAGATCGACGCCAAGAACCTGTTGAAAGATCAAATCAACATGAAAGTTAACGCCGATGGCCTTCGGACTACGATACTTACTTCGGCTTCGGGATGTTCATCACCAAAGTCCATCGCCCAAATGCCAGAGCCAGTACCAACGTCAAGAACACGCCTGACCTGGGCCCCTTCATCGTTTGGTGGAGCAGTACCGAGTCGCTCGTCAAAGGTTCGTATGAACATGTTGTGTTGGAGATCTGACAGAATTAGATTCCAAGTCGTGACAAACGAGAGCGGTAATTTTCTTTTCCACATACCCAGCCGTTCGTTTTCTCTATCATCGTTAGGGAGAGCGTATCCTAGTTGAGACTGATCAGCAGTCTGTATGAGGACGTGCTTGCTCTCTGAAGAGATGACGTACCGGCGTTCCTGTTATGATACGTTCTGCCGTTCTCTTCCCTATACTGAAGAACAGACTCGGTCACGCTGGTAGTCGACGATGCTATGCTTTCCTGACCTCGTATGTTAGATCCGGCCCCTGGGCCTACAGTGTCCTCAGCATCGGTCTTCAAGTGGTCCTCACGTGGGCTACAGAGCCTGCATCATCAGTCACCTGCAAAATCCGAGTCAGCAAACATGTAGCTGCCCATCCTAAACAATTTCAGTACCTCCTCAGCAGCGAGGACATCATCGCTATTTTCAGCCGTAGTAATTTGCGTCTGGTTCCCAGGGTTGACGGTGGCCGAAGCGCTCGTCGCTCGGGGCGAGGCCAAAGCCGCTCCGGTTTCCGAGGCTCTATGCTCCATCATAGACTTAGGTGCGAGTCGAGTGGTTCCAATGAGGGAATGTGCTAGCTTCAAGTTTACTCCACTTATGACAACGGGAAATGAAGGGAGAGTTTGAAGTTCGAAGAATGCTTAAAGTCGCCTTTTTATCTACCTTAATATCACCGAGGGCGGAGGCATCACCCCTCTTTTCAGATAGCATTTGCAATGTGAGTACTGACCGAAACGATACTTTTTCCTACTATTTGCAGGGGGGCACATGTGTGTTGCTGCTTTGTTGTGGATAGAAGTATGGCCATGGAAACATCTGCTCGTACGGACACGAATCATTTAACGGGAGCAGTCCCACGGGGCCGACTGTGCCGTATCGACTCCCGCAGCTTGCCGCCCGCGTATGAGTTCCGGTTGGTTGAAAAATCCATTCTTCATCTCTAGCCTCTTTCCTATTGGTTCCCGGGCGGCAAAGATCCATCGTGGCCATGCACATTGACGGGCATCGAACCAACTGCCAAGATCTCTTCAACGAGCAAAGGTCAGAGCAAGTTACATCTAAGCTGGCTAGACTTGCGACTTCTTGCTGCAACCGACTTTCTGCGTAAGTGTGCGCCTCTATTAAGGGAATTGTAGAAACTCACGGATTGCATTACTAAAGGCATGTTGTTCAAACAATGTTAAACCGAAGATGAACTCGACACCACCATAGCCAAGAAAGTAGGCGTGGACATTGGTTATTTGAGAATCATGTTTGAAACCACCTGCTACGGTTTTTGACTACTAAATAGTATGCAATACAACTACCACATCGTCAAGAGACAATTTTTCGTTCCAATCAAGTCGGCTCAAATAGTATCATCCGTGTGCGCCCTTTTACGCCACTAGAAGTGGTACGTACAATCAAACCATGGGGAAACCTCCATCTTTGCATGGACGTGACAGACGATGAGATTCAGGCTCCTGGACCTCGAGGAAGTTGTGAGTCGAGGGAACCGGAACCTTAGAAGTCGCATTGGTAGCCGTCGGTGCTGGAGCCACCGAAACCGCCGGCCTTGGAGCAAGACCGAATCTCACGACAAGTGTCGGGCCCAACCTCCATTGATTCTCCCTTGGAGTTCTCAATAGTTGCTGTAAAGCAGATAATAAGCATAGGGCCTCCATATAGAGTTGAAGAGAAAGAGTCATGTTTTCTTTAACTTACCCGATTGAACATGCTCGGCCGACTTGCAACCATTAGTGTTGACATTGTGCAGAGTGACTTTGTAACCAGAAAGCTCACAGGAGCTGTCGAAATGGCCCGCCATTCTGCAGTAGGTCTTAGGTAAATAGTTCCACTAGTCATTAATAAGGCCGCTATTATTAATAATAGGTATATATAAACTTATAAGTATATTACTTAACTTCCTTAGGGCTATAAGAGGTAGGTCTAATACCCTCTATATATATCTAGGGATAGCTATATTACTCTACTCCTATTAAGTCTCTAGCTACTATAGTATATATTATAATACTCCTACTTAAGCCTATATAGCTATTTCTATTACTCTTTAACTTATCTTAAATATATTAAGTTTATTAAGCCTTATTAAACCCTTTTCTATTAGAAACCTTATAGGATAAAGTAATAATAAGAAAAAAGTACTTTATAGTTTATTATTTAGTTAACTAAATATATCTTATTATATAGAGGTCTTATTTCTTAATCCTCTTATTATCTATAAGTAACTATTATTATATTTATTTTAAAGTTAAAATAAAATACCTATTAATATTAATATATTAATAATTAATTAAGTACTATATTATTATTAACTTATAGTATATATAGAGTTAATTATAGAGGTTTTATTATAAGCTTTATAGTATTATATTAATATAGTTATTTTCTATAATACTTTATTTAGTATTATAGAGATATATAAATAAGTATTTATCTCTAGTATTATTAGATATTACTATAGTACTAAAGGTATATTAAAGCTCTTTCTTTTAGTTATTTTCTATACTAACTTAGTTCTATTAAGGTCTACTAAATAGTCTAACTTAATAGTTCTTATTATTCTTTAGAGATTATATAAAGTTATTAATAAAGTAGTAGAGTTTAATATTTACTATAGAGTTAATTTAGAACTTTTTAATTTATTTAGTTTAAAATAAAATAATATTAAGATAAATATATAGCTTATTAAGCTATTATAAAGCCTTAAGAGTAGTAGTTAGGTAGTCTATAATAGTAAAGGGGTCCTCTAGAAGCTTAAATAGAGCACCCTAAATAAATAAATTAGTTTTTATTAATATTTTAGTTTTAATATATATAAATATTTTAGCTATTAATATAGTTATATAGAGCTAATTAATATAGTTTAAATAGTATAAAGTATAATTATACTAAGTTAATAAGAGGGAAGTTATAGTTAATTAAAGTTTTCTATAAGCCTATAAGGTTATAATAAGTCTTACTTAGCTATAAATTCTATTTCTAGTTAATTAGTAATTTAGGTAGCTTTATCTCTTACTACTTTAAGCGTTTCTTATTATCTCCTATTATAGTTATCTCTAGAGGCTTAGTTTATCTTAAAATATTATAAATAAGGCTTAAGGTAAAGCTTTTATAAGTCTATTAGTAATCTACTTATATATAGGCTTAAAATAGAAGTCTATTTTACTATATTTATATAGTTTATAATAGTAGTATTATTATATATAGATATATTTAGTATAGCTATAAAATTAAGGGTTTTTTATTAATACTAAAGCTCTTTAGTTATTACTAAAGATTATAGTTACTATATATTACAGCTAGCTAACTAATAGTAGGGTTTATATTAATAGTAAGTTAGGTAATAATAATAGTAATAGTTATTAGTTATTCTATAGGTCTAATTAAGTAATTATAGGTCTTTAAAGGGCTTAGTAATTAGTTAAGTCCTTAATAAGAGTTATAGAGTAATTATTACTTAGGTATAGCTAAAAGTATTATAAGTAATAATTATAAGTTAATTACTAAAGAGCTATAGAAGTCTATTCTTAAGTAGACTTAAGTCTATCCTATATATAAGTCTTATCCTCCTAGCTTCTTACCTTAATTACTTATTAGGTAATTACTTAGTAGTTACTTAAGGTAAGCACTTATAGTCTATACTATAAGCAGCTTATATCTTATCTTATTAGTGCTTATACTTCCCTAGTTATATGACTTATCTATAGTTCTTCTATTCTGAGGAGTCCTCCCTATTCCTTATAATCCTATATATAAAAGTATTATTATAACTACTTAGTATCCTAGTGGGGCGTTCTTTATTAGTTATACCTAATAGGTTATAATATTAGGTCTCCTCTCTAAAGGTCTAGTCCCTTAGACCTATATAAGTAGGTAGTATCTCTTAGGTTAGGGAGTTATTAATCTTACTTCCTTTATTCTTATAGTACTAATACTATATTAGGTTATATTTAAAAGTAAAAGTCTAATTAGGTAGTAAAGGCTTCCTCTATTATTTATTATTAGCTCTAGTCTTAGGAGATTTTCTAAGACGGTTTTAAGGTTATACTATATTCTTATTATTAGGTAAATAGCTATATTTATAAGATAGTAAAGAAGTATTCTAAGTATAATAAATATACTTATTGAGGTTACTCTTATAATATAACTAGGGTAGTAGTTAATATTTATAGGTATTTATTTCTTACTCTCTTATTTATTTACTAATTTTAAGGTATTTTTTCTAGTAAGCTATTTCCTTAAAGAATTTTAATATCTTAAGTTAGCTAAGAGGGCTAAGGAAGAGGTGTTTTATAAAAAGGTAGCTATATTATAGAAGGCATAGCTTAAGATATTAAAGTCTTTAGGTTAACTTAAGCGTTATTAGAAGGAGAAGCAGTTAATCTTTAAGAAGGGTGATATAGTAGCGTCTAAGCAGCTAGTTGCTATAGGGGAGTCCTTAGAGGAGTCTAAGTCTTCTTTAGCTATTAAGGTTTAGGCTAATAGTTATATAGATATAGTTAATTAGAGTATAGTATTTATAGGGGTTAAGTTTTCTAAGATAGTTAGTTTTAATAGTAGTCCTAGAGTAGTGCTTAAGAGTGCTAAAGGTTCTTAACTAGTTCCTATAAGTTATCTTTATATCTATATCCTTTCTACTTAATAAGATATTCTATATTTATATTTATCTTATAGTAGTTAATAATCTATTTAACTTTATATTCTAGTTCTAGTAGTTCTATAATAATATAGTCTTCTATATATAAACCTATTAATACTTTTTTAAGAAGTAAAATATAAAAGACTAAATAATACTTTATAGTATTTAGTAGTATAAGTCTAAAGTTAATATTAGATACCTTCTTTATAATTTTAAAAGGTCTAAGTTTTTTAAAGTCTAACTTATTACTTAGTTATTTAGTTTTAATATTTTAGTAGAGAAAGTATATACTATCCCCCTCCTATAGAGTTAGTCCCTTAACTCTTAAGGTGTTAATATATTTATATATTTATTTATATATAAATTTAAGTTCTTTTAGGAGTTCCTACTAGATTTCCTTAAGTTTATTAATATCTACTATAGCTTTTAGGGCTACTAGGCCTTATTATAGTTCTCTATAGGCTATTAGGTTAAATCTATAGTTTAGATAGAATAGTAATTCTTTTATACTTTCTCCTACTACGCTATTATAAGCAAACTAGGCTATAGGTAGTAGTTAGACCTAATTATCTTACTAATAGTTAATATAGTAGTATAGGTAGGTTTCTATAATCTAGTTAATTTATTCTATCTAGCTATTAGTTTATAGATAAAAAGTAGTAGATATCTTATAATTAGACCCTAGCTATAAAATTAGAGATCTCTAAAACTTAGAAGTAAATAACTTATCCCTATTAGATATAATTTCCTTTAGCATTCTATATTAGCTAATAGTTATCTATAGAAACTTATAGGTGAGGTCTTCTATAGTGCTAGACTCTATATAGGGGATAAAGTATAAGTACTTTATAAGTCTATTAATAATAATAAGGATACTATTATAGCTAACCT